CAGGGAGCGGGGGCAGTGCCCTCCTCCCTTCTCTGCTCGATCCTGGGCGAAGCACCTTTTCCGGTTCTTTTGTCCTGACTTAAATAGGGCAATTCGCAGAGGCGCCCTATTGGCTCAACCCTGAGGGGGATGGGAGTCTGATCTGGTGGCCAGAACTAAGCCTAACCCGGTTCCAAAACCGGGGAGGTCGCAGGGAGCAAAACCTCTCTCCTGCCACCAGAACCACCCCCCCTCCACATCAAACCATGACAGTTGTTTCTTGAGTCTGCGTGTTTTTTCTTCTCAAGATCCTGTTACATAGGTGAAGAAAGGGTTCTGTCTAGTCCTGTTGCGTTTAACATGTGTAGGTGTTGTCCTGGAATTGCTTGTACCTGTTGAATTCCAGATGCTGAATGCTTTGGAACACTTGACAGACTTATCAATAGCAATGCGTTTGTCAGGCATAGTGGGATTGGGAAGCTGGAAACAAATATCTGCAGCGGCAAGCAGGATAATTCCTCTTATTTGATGGTTGTAATTTGTTTGTTTTTTCCACTTCTTATAGATTTGAATATCTTATCACTTCTTCTAGATTTGAATTTATTCCCTGGCTAAGCATCATGAGGATCTTCATTTTCTGAGTAGACCTGTAATTCTTAGGAGATATCCGAATGTGTTAACTACTAATCTGACTGTTAGGAAATTCCATGTCAAGGAATATGTGAATTGGTTGACTTCCTGGTTTCATTGCTATTTTAAGGGATGAGTTCTCAAACGTACTAGTTCAGCTGTCCTGAACTGAGTCAGGAGTCTCAGAAGCATTAAAAGTAGAAGCAGAAATAATAGGAAGAAGAGCCATATGTTTGCACAAATTATATGGAGCAAAAGTTATCTGTTTTTCCTGTAACTGTTAATTTCTGCTTTTATTTTATTATTTAAAATCAAACTTGTTGTGAGTAAGCTTTTAATTTAAGAGAATATGCTGAAACCTAAAGTAACAGCTTCACAGCTTTTGTATATAAGCTTATCTGCCATGTATTTTACAAGCAAAGATGTGAAATGCTAGGCCATGAAGATGAAAGGATTGGAGCATCTGTCTTGCAGGGATAGGTGGAGAGCTGGATTTGTTTAGTCTTCAGCAGAGAAGGCTTGAGTGGATGGGGCCAGGGAGGGAATCTTATCAATGTGAATAAATACTGACAGAAGAGTAAAGAAGAGGAAGCCAGAGTCTTCCTAGAAGTGTCCAGTGACAGGATAAGAGGCAATGGACACAAACTGAAATGCAAGAAACTCGATTTAAACATGAGGAGAAAAAACCTTTGCTGGTGAGGGTGGTCAGGCACTTGAAGAGATTGCCCAGAGAGGTTGTAGAGTTTCCATCTGTGGAGAAATTCAAAACCCGACTGGACAATGTCCTGAGCAACCTGCTGTAGCTGACCCTGCTTTGAGCTGGAGTGTTCAACTAGGTGATCTCCAGAAGTCCCTCCTGACCTCCAGTATTCTGTGATTCTGTGAAGCACAGTCTGCATGGCCTTATGTCTCTCTTTCATGCCTTCTTAATTTGAATAAAATATATATGTAAAAAGCATTTCACTTCATTATCACCTGAAGATCATTTGTCTATTTTGGTACCTTCCATTCTAAATGGTACCTTCCACTTCTAAACATTGTGTGAAAAAGCTGTGTCATGATATAGCTACTAAATTGATTTTCTTTATTAATAACGGAGAATTGAATTAAATTGAAGGTACATGTAAAGAACACTATTTCAGTATTAAATTTTAAGAAATAGTAAGAGTAGACTATTATAGTTACTCATAAGTAATTTTCTATTACTACTTTTGATAATACAATTTTATTTTCAGATTTGAGAACGCTGACAGAAATATCAATGCAACTTTGGATGTTCTTCCTGTTAAAGGACCTCAGGGTCCTCCATTACCTGTAAAAACTGATGATCTGGTCACTCAACAGACTTGGACTGTTAAGCCTGAACACTTGACTTTGACATCTCCTTCTATTAGTAAGTATTTTTTTAAATGAATAAAATAACCATTCTAGTATTAAAATAACTGTACTGCATACTATGTTTGTAATCATTTTGTGTTTGTAGGTGTGGCTTGGCCAATAATCTTGCTGCAGTAGCGTTGCATCTAAACAATAAACTTGTTTTGCCTGTGGTTTTGGTTAAATTGTCAGAGGTAGTGTACTCTGTGTGTGTATATGTATGATATGCACTGCATAGCATAAAGATTTTAAAGCATTGTGAAGGTAAAAATAGGGCAGAAAATGTTTTATCTTAGTTGTTGTGTCTCTGAATCTTGGGCACTTCTGTGGATTTTTGTATACGTTAGCTTTTATAGTTTTTTGTATTACAGGTGGGACAGCGGATACTGGACATGCACAGATTGTCAATAATTCTAGTAGGACATTGACATTTGAGCTTTCATGGCCAGCTCACTGCCTTACTATAACCCCACAACATGGAATTATTGAACCAGAGTAAGTTTCTTTTCGTAGGTTCCTTTACATGTGGAAGTGTAGTGAGGCTTTGGAGGAATTTATTTTTAGTTAGTTTAGGAATTTAGTTAATTTAGGAATTTTAGTTTTAGTTAGCTTGTAGGAGTTTATTTTAGTTTGTTTAGGCTATACCCTGAACCTAACTAAAATAGTCTTTTTGTCAGCGAACATGCAAATTAGCTTTTATATTTTAGGACCTTATCTTTTTCTTATTCTTTATAAGGGGGAATGTTCTTCTGCCACCTACAAAGTTACCTGGAGGCCAGGAGTTTTCTATGCCTGGAAATACTATTATTCTTGCATAATTTTCCAGGAGCTGGATGGTCAACAAAGCTGAAGTTTTAAAAATCATCTTTCACAATAGTTTTTTATTTAAAAAAGACCTGTGTGTTTAGAAAGAAAAAAGACTTCCCTCTTCCCTGAAAGAAACAAAAAAATAACCCCAAAATACCAGTTCTTATAGAATGCTTCTCTTCTAGGAACTTAGCATTTTCTTTTACAAATGTGCTGGTATTCATCAGAACTTGATTTGTGAGTGGGTTGTGTGTGGGGTTTTTTTTGTATTCTGACAAAACTGTTTTTTGCCACTCAACTCTGGCTTTGGAATAATTTACCAGGAGGGGACAGGCTCACTGATGTCAGTGAAGTCTTTCACAATAAAATATCTGGAAGATCTGACCGTTTCTCATTTCTGAATTTTTTTTGTAAGGTCAGTTCAGAAAGACTTTTAAGACCCTATTACTCAACTATTCTCATCTTCAAAAAAAGAAAAAAAGTCTCATGTTCCACACAAAAAAGTTTTGTTTTCTGAGTTTTATTTAAGTAGTTGCTTCAACTTTGTAGATGTTTTCTCAAAGTAGGTCCTTTCTTTTCAGTCCTGCACTACTGTGCAAGATGTGATACATTTAAACACTTAATTCCATGTTCATATAGATGTAAATTTTTGTATGTATTGCTAGGGAACTTTTTCATTGCTAATGAGAACGAAATAAAGAGGATTCTCTGGAAGGGCTAGGATATCTGCCACTCCTTGCAGGTTCAATCAGTGCCAAGAACAACAGTTTCAAAAAGAGATAACAATGAATAGCTTTCCAGTAGCTGTAAAAGTAAGGACATCTTGAGTGTCTCATACTGTAGACTCAGGACAGTTTGTGGAATGGTGTTGTAAAAAGAGGGAGTTGAAGGCCTTCTGCAAGCAATTTTCTTGCACTGCATAATTTTAAAATGTGTTCCCTTCCCTGGAAAACGATGAACGGAAGTCTTACATGCTGGGTCCAAGTAAGTAGTGTGGATCAAGAACAGAGGCCTGCAAGTAGGAAGCAGACCTGTGGGAACATCTGACTTAAGCGCAGCAAGCTATGCTTGCCCAGTTTTCTGCTTTTCATGACCATCTCCCTGCAGTGCCAAGAGCAGTCATCCTGTCAGGCCAGGAGCCAGCCAGAATCTCTTGTACTAAGCACTGTGATGAGTGGAGCTGACAGAATTCTTAAACTGATTTAGGCTAGGAAAGGAGAAGGTCTGATTTATCAATGATGGTGAAAGAAGGTCCTAAGACCAAGGACTGATTCTGCCATGCTAGAGCAAGCAGGCCACCCCATTTCACCTTGACTAAATCCTCTAAGTTCCGTGGAATGAGCTAAAGGCAACCTCTAACCTACCTGAATGTGGAATAATAAAGCCTGGAGTCCCAATGGAATTTGGTAGCATTACAAGAGATTTTCACATAGAGGTGAACTGAAACTAGCCTCTGGTATGTTGTTGTGCTACAGTGTTGGGAGTATTGATAAGTGCTGTGAATAGAATTGCGTTTTTGGAGCAGGGACTGTTGGAATCTCCAAAGGCTGCAAGAGCTGCCTTTGGAAAGTGTTTCTTCCCTGGGCTCTGCTACTTTCCATGGTAATGAAAGTACTGAGAGGTGATGTTTTCAGTTTGAATATGACTTTTCGGACAGACACACATGGTTTTTGACCCCATGCAAGTTGGATTTGCATGAGAAGTTTGCTGTGAACATCAAAAACAATCTAGTTGGAGCAAGGACAGTGGAATGGTTTGTGGTAACAGGTGGGGTGTGTGCTTAGTAAATCGTATTCTCACATACGCAGCTAGCTTGTAAATGAGAGAGAGAACCATGAGTGAAAAGATTCTGGAAAACTATGGAGATTCAAAAAAACCCCACAATTTTTAAAGGAAATATCGGTATCCTGGTTTAATATTTTTAGGGCGATTAACATCTGTTAGTTGAAGTTTGTAGAGATGGTCATATTGTGATGATGATTATGGAACTGACTTTCCTATGGGACTGATCTTGTTCCTACACTAAGCTTTCCAAATGCAAAGTGCTGCACTAATGACATCTTAAGCTAATTCTTCAGGTGTAGCTTGAGTGCATTTGCTGACATACAACCAATGACCTTTACTTCAGCGAACTTTTTTGTAGTCGTTTCTTAAATACTTCATTGCTTGCTTTCTCCCCTTCTTTATTTAAATGTCTCTAGTATGGAATATGGAACATTGTAAATCAGAATTTATGTTGTCACTGATCAAATTACTGTTTGATGCCAGAACTGCTTCAAGTGAGTTTAGACTTTTCAGTGTCCCCTACTCTAAATAACTATAGAAAGCATCGATAACATTGAAAGACTTTTCTCTTTTCCAAGATCATTTCTGCATGGGAGAAGGAAAGCAGACTGCTTCTCTAAAACTAGAATTAGTTTAAAAGATTCTTGTAATGCAATTTGTGCAGTGTACTTTGTTTGAACAGTACAGTTCCCTTGTTGACTAGTATGAAAGCTTATTTTTCTGAAACGTGTAGTTATGTCTGCTTTACATGGCCTGACTGATCGTGCGTATTAACAAGAGGAGGGATTTACACTTTCCCTGTGGCCCCTTATACAACCATCAATGACAAGTTTATAAAGTGTGTTAGGGTTAAGTTTCTGACTACTAAAGCTTGATAATATATTGGATGTCTAAATACCTTAAATTTAACTCTCTCTAGATTATCTTCACTTATTTACTGTCTTGAAAGTGCATCCTTTTTGTGGGGAGGGCGGGGGGGGGCGAGGCTAGTAAGATCTGTTGTAGATAGTTGTTCTAATATAAGGATCACACTCATTTTTTTTCTTTTGTTAGGAGCACTACACTGATTTTGGTGAGTCCTAATCCATCACTTGCCACAAAGCCTTCATTAATTCCTTGGAGTGGCCTAATCTATATCCATTGTGATAATGGGCAAAAGGTATGTGACTTACTCGAGAGCTGAGATTGCAACTGTTTATTTTGCTTTGCTGGATAAGGTCTCGTAATGTTTCTAAAACTTTTTAGGTATGAGACAGCAGTTCTGTCAACTTCCATTATGTTCTCTAATTTGTAAAGTTCTCATAAGAAAAAAAAATGTAGTTAAGATGTTGTTTTGCAAACTGAGATTCTTAGTTTATTCATCTCTGAAGAAACGCTATGATGTGAACTCTTAGACTGAATTGCCAACAAAATTGCATCTGTATACCCACCACTGCCTCACACATAATTTTCTAGAAAAGCTAAATATATATATATATGTACACGTGCATATATAAATGTAGTCTATATAATGTTTTAAAAGAAGTTCAAGGAGGTTATTGGATAAGTCTCCATAGCTGCGTTTGAGCTTCCTTACAGTAAACTTATGCATCTGGTCATCAAGTCTGTGATAAAGAATTTCTAGAACAAGTTCTTGTTCTTCATGCATTTTAATCCAAGACTGTTCTCTGATTAAATTAAGGCATATAAATGAAACTTATGAAACCAACAGTTTCTTCTTTCATCAGTGTAAAATCAGAAAGACTCCTTGGTGATCTCCCCTAGTGAAATAAACACCTGTTTTTTTATTTTTACAGCCAGTATGTATTTTGGGTTACTTGTAACAGTGCATGGAGAGAGAAATAAAAGACACTTAAAGGATAGAACAGAATATCTACCTACTTTCCTTCTTGATGGAGGAAGGTGAGGTATGATACAGAATTGGAAACTGCCTTAAAAAAACACTGGACAAACAGGGAAGTTGTTGAAAAGAGTGAGTTGAGAAGGAAAGGGAGACTGTGCACATAGTTAACTACCTTGCGTTCTGCAAGGATTTAAGAGAGGAAACCTACTAGGACAAATGTAGAGAATGTAGCCAAAACAAACAAGTTGTAAGAGACCTGGTAGTTGATAATGCTTCTGCCATTTCTTTGCTACCTATCCAATGAAGCAAAAAGCATACTAAGATTTTACTAGCATTAACTGAAGTTTTTAGAAGTATTGATTATGTAACAGAATTGAACATAAAGCTCTGTGTGAGACTGCCCTGTTCCCCATTCTCTGTGAGCAGAGAGTTGTCAATTAAACTTAACTTGTTTAAATTATTATTCCTATTGGATTAAAATGTCTAGATAGCAGATTTTTCAGTAAATTTTTTTGTTCTTCTAAATTAAACTTGTCCTAAAATCTTTAAACTTTGTGAACTGAAGTTAGAGAAGACCCAGTGATTTAATGTATGAAGCTCTTTCTCTGTTGGAATGTAAAGCTGAAAACATGAGCTCTTAACAGCTCAAGGAAATAGAGCTAAGTAGTTTGACTTGTTAATATGTCGATGTTCACTATTTAAATCTTTCTTTTTCTCCAAATTGTGAAAAAGTTTATTAAAGTGCGGATTCGAGAGGCAGTTACACAGAGTGTGTCTGGAGCAGACTTTCCGTCTAGAAGACATGATATATTTACTCCACAGTCTGAAAGCCCTGCTGTTCATGTGGCAAAACCTCTCTCAGCTCTTCCTCTAACAAAAATGGAAATAAAGAACAGAACCATTGTTTTTCCTAAAACAAGACCTGGCCAAAGCTCCGGTAATACTGTTTACTTAGTAAATGCAACATCTGTAGTATCTTGTGTTCAGAGTTTTTGTTTACTGTATTGCATGTTTGGGAACTCGAATGCCTTGACTTTGTTTTTGTTCTTTTATTCTGGGAAGTGTGGTTGACCAGTTCCCCTCTTCTGACTATAGCCACACTTTTTGCCATAGATAGGTTTGCATACAGACAAGTTGCTAATTTTGTAAGCAGCTGTGATGATTGCAACCATACTATGCCTGGTTAGGAGGACACCATGAGGTTACTGCATTTTGTTGAAGGTCTTTTGAGTCCATTTTTGCAGTATACTCATTCTCCTCATCTGTGTATGTGTCCCTAAAACGTGAGATAACTCTGTCTGCATGTAGCAAAGAAGGAAATGTTCTTCCTTAAGGCAATAGGAATGTCAGCTAAGAGTCTGGCTTTCCTTATCTTGTACTTAATGATCGAGGAGAACACTGTTGATAATAGTCTCAAATCCTCAGTCTGTACTTTTAATTCCAGTAATGCTTAAAATTCTCCAAATTACTGTATGAAACTGTCATTCTGTTATCTAGATACAGATTTTTTTTTGGTAGTGCTTAGTTTCGTTTTCTAGGTAATGTCAATTATTTTGTTTTTAATGATTCACTGATGCTACATTTTTATTAAACAGATTTTAGAACTTTCAAGGCTTAATTCATCACTTATATCTGTTGGTTTTTTTTGCCACACTTAAAGAGGAGGGTAATGTAATACTCCTTTCCTTTCCTATTTTTATAAATGTCCTATATAATATATAGGCAGCTAAACTTCCTGAAGTGCTACTCTAGACTGAGATGATCTTGTGAAAGTCCTGTTGATTCTTGGCAGGAAACACATTTCAAGATGTGAAATATACTTATTGATACTGCCAAAATTGGGATTTTCTAATAATGTCAGTGAGTTGTTCTTTCTGCAAGTCAAGCATAACCTTTTTGTTGAGGTTTCATATATATGTATATATATACACACACATATATTTTTAATATACATATATATGTATCCTGAATAACAAATCCATACTAGGATGAGAACAGATTTTATTTGATGCGACTTTAGTTGATTTTGTCCCAAACAAGAATGCTGTCAATGTGTTTTACCTGAACAGTCTAATATCTTGGGAGGGACTTGGGTATCTTGTGGGGTTTTTTTGGTGTTTTTTTTTTGTACATTGGTATGTGAAGGTATCTGCCAAAAATCTGAATGCAATAAACTGAGACTGTTGGAGGTGATTTAGATCTCTGCTGTTTGTCATATTCTGCATTTATAAGAAGCTTCCTGCTACCAGCAATACATTCACATAAAATCCCATTATATGCTTCAGGTTCTTTTAGAGGATTATCTATTATTGTTTTAGGATTATTGAGGCAAGATTTAGTTCTCACTTTGTTTCTTGTAAGCATCTTCAATGTGATTCTTCACTAGAAGACTTTACTTCCAAATTTCTTTTCTATAAGCTTTCAAGAATTTTAGGACATCATGCTTTGTTTGAGTCTGCTCTTGGAGTTGGCAACATGAGAACTGTTTCCCTTAACCTTCTGTGCCTCTCGAAACATAGTTTCTGTTTAAACTCTTTCCACTAAATATACTTGAATACTTGAACAAAGAAATGTAGTAAACTAGTCTGATGTTTCTATTCCAGAGAGTTACCTGGAAATAGAGAATAAAGGGGATGAAAATGTGAAGTGGCATTTGTCATCTTTTGCACCACCCTATGTTAAAGTGAGTGAATGCTTGCATTGACGATTTTATACAAATATCTTTTTTTTTTTCCTTCTCTCTCCCTTCATCCTCTCAAGAAAGAATATATATTTGAGCATGAACTCAGTTACAAAGTTGTTTTTTGCCTCTGTCCGTATCAGGGAAATGTTTTACTCCTTTTTTCATCTCTAATGTGCTCCCTGACTGTGAATCAATCAGTGCTCTGTGGGACAACTTCTGGTTCAGTTACTGGTTTATAGAGTTTGCTTGTGCTTATCTAGTATCATCATCCAGATTGTATTAAGTAGTCAAGCATGTGTGAAAGATGTGTGTCTCTTTTGGCTTCAGAATGCTAGACTTGCCTTGTTTTGAGTCATGCTGCTGGAATTATGCTGTACATGCTATCTCTGCAGTTAATTTAAGTTGCGTCAGGGATGTTTGTATTACACTGCTGTCCCTGGTGCAATTACTGTAGCTGTACCATTGATATTTGTAAATGCTTCCCTATTTTTTTGATAGTCTGAAGTGCTGTGATGGACAGTTTGATTTTTGTGCCAGAATTATTGTGGTCTATTGTCACGAAATGATGAAAAATGGTTATGTAGCACTCTCAGCTGTAGTCCAGAAAACTGAGTGTGCCGTGTTCCAGCCAGTGCACCACCTCTAAACCGAAGTCAGTAGTCATGGTGACTGCATAGATGTTGTAGCAGTTTTAGTCTTTATTCATTTGCTTTTAGGGAGTTAATATTATTTGTGCGTTTGAAAGCAGCTTGATTGGGTGTATTTTCTTCAGTCCTTTATAAGGATCATGTATGTGGGAGCGTATTGTGTGGTGGGTGGGTTTTGTTTGGTTTTTTTTATTTTTTTTTTTTTCTCCCCCCTTCTGAAGCTGACTCATAACTTTATTTGCAGGATGTGGATGGATCTGGTTGTGTTTATAGGGTTACTTACTCCGCTTTCAGATGTTCCCGTGTTTCTGGTACTCTTGAAGCTTATGGAGAAGAGAAGGTAAACTGACATTTATAAATATTTCAAGCATATTATATTATCTCAGTTGTGAAATAGGATCTTACATGAGAAATTGTCTGAAATAACAGTTGAATTTTTGAAGCTGGTCATACTTTATATGATAATGATGAAATGTTGGCCTTCCAAAATTGGGTTCTGGGGTGTATCAGGTAGTCAGTACCTACTTACCACAGCTATTAGTGTCAGCTGAGCTGGTTCTAAGAATTCATGCAGTCCATAGTTTGATTTGACATGGTAGTGGTTTTTTTGGTTTTGTTTGTTTGGGGGTTTTGGGTGTTTTTTAAAGATAAATTATTCTAGAACAGAAGATTGTTTTAAAAGGTTTTGTAAAAATCCACAAGAAAATCGCAAATAATACTGAGTTCTTACAAAACTGGTGTGAGAACTGGTTTCCCTTCTTTAGAAGTAGTCTTGTCATACCAAGAACAGTTGTCATTTCTTAAAGTTGATTTCATTTGACTTACAGTTTTATTTCCTGGCCAGTAGAGGGTTTCATAACCACAATTATAAAGCACATCCAAAGACATACTTGAATGGGTTTCTATGGGGCTTTTGTCCCTCACCTTCTCCCTCAATTCTACTTTAGTTTTATCTGTTCATCTTCGTGGTTTATTATGACATTCCTTAACTACATTATTTCTGTGACTATGCAACTTGTAATCTATTTACAAGACCTAAAAAACGTACTCCTGTCCAGTTTCATAGTTATTTCATAATATTGAAAATCATTATTTGAATTCAAACAATTGTCTTTGCCTTAGCCGTGCTAGTTCAGGCCCACTTGAGTAACATTTACTTTATTGGCATGTCAGGCTGTTGGCTGGAGCTGATAAGGTACAGTGCTATCATGATTTGCTGTTTTTTTGCTATGGATATGATAATGTTTGACTAATTAGATATAGTTGTAGTATCTATTTTACTCTGCTGCTCCTCTTCTTTTTCTTCCCCCAACCTCAACTCTGAAAACAATGCAAGTTTACTCTTGAATTAACCTGGTACAGCACTGTATGGAGACAAGCCATTGTTACATAGGTGACCTTTAAGGATGATGAAATGCATAGCCTGCAAGTTGGTTTAAATTTCAGGCCTTCCAGTAATTCTAGCACAATGTGCTTACAGACTTGAAGCTGGAGGAATACGGTTTTTGACAGCTTAGCTGACAGGTGAAGGAAGGTATTGCTGCCTTTCAGTTGCTCATATTTCCCCTCCTGGTCCCCTTCCCCATTTTACTAATAGAAATAAGTGTGCAAGCACTTGCTGACTTTGCTTAAAGCAGATTAGCTGAACTGAAATTTTGTTCAAGATTGCTTGCACAACCTATTTCATTAGAACTTTCTGTTTTGTGGGCAAGGGAGGATGAGCTGTATTGGTTTCTGCAAGATCACCTATGTGGGGAATGTGTCTTCTGTAGTGTGTAGATTTTGTGCTGGCTTGACTGTAACTTTGTGTAGGTAAAACTGGGAAGAATGTATAGATTGTTCTAATAAGGTTCTGCAAAATTTTTCTCTTGTTTTGGTAGGTTGCTGTGATCTTTTTACCAAGAGATAAAGGGGATTACTCCCAGTTCTGGGACCTTGAGTGTCACCCAGTTGAAAAACCTAGTTGGAAACATAAATTAAGATTTCAGCTTTCTGGAGCAGTGAGTATATAAATGCTATAAACGCTGTCCTGAGCACAAATATTTGATAACATCTTTATTTTACTATACAGTACACTTTCTCATATGCACTGACGTATTCTGAAAAAAACTTGCTGATATTTTGGTTGGACTCAACTGTACTGTTTTTCTTATGTTACAAAAATAATTTTCACGTCTTACCTATGTGATAATGTATTATCTTTTGCCATTTACGACATAATTTTATTTTGCTCAAAGAAAGCAGAGACAAACTTGCCTTCTGTGGTAGTTGTTTCTGTAGATGCAGAGTTGTTTGTATCAGACACAAGTGGATTGGTTTTATTTTTGTAAATAAATAGCGAAGTAACTGACCTTTGCTATAATATGTAACTTAATGCAATATTGGTATTTTCAAATATCCATATTGGAGATACGGATGTGTCTTTGATAGAATCTGTTTGAGTATTTTATCAGAGTAACAACATAGATGGGGGTGATTTTTGATACTTGTACGTGCGAGTGATTGGATTTGAGCTCTCCTTTGCTCCCCTCTTGTTCCTCAGCTCTAACTTTATGGTGAGGCTTGGAAGGAGGGATTTGGTGTTCTGTGCACTCTCTCCTTAACTTGCTTTTAATCCCTACGTCACCGTCTATACAAGAGGAGTCTACATAGGACAATGAATCTATTACTGTTAGGAAGGGTTCATTGTAATGATTAATTAAATGAGCTGAATGTGAAGAGCTTTGGACATTCAGTATTGTGCGATTGCTATGTATGCTTTGCTGTCCTTTCCAGAGAGTTTGACTTGATTTTTCTAAGAAGCCCAGACAAGGATTTTGGATCTTTCTTTAGAGTACCAAGCCTGTTTTTGTAGTAGGAACCTTACTTACGCTTTGTGCTGGGGTGCCTTACCTTTTATTTTGTAGGGTTCATGTTCTTCCTAGTAGTTAATTGTGTTGAAAAGGGTGCCTGTTAAAAAAGTGCACATTAAATGACTTCCAGTTTTGGCATGAAGAACGAGACCTGTGTAATGTTCGGTTTGGGAGGGTTTTTTATTCAGCTTTCATCTAATTCTTTGAACATAATTTTCGTTAAAATGAGGAAAACATCTATGTCATTTGTCTGTTTAAAGCTAGTTGAAATTGAGAGAAGAATGCTTTATCTGAAATCTAGAGTTTTGAAGAATTCTCTTAAAACGTGACTAGTTGTCAGAGTTGTGGAAGTCTTTGAGCAGCACAACGTGATATTCATGTTTGAGCTACTGTGTCAGATTTGTTCCTCTTGATTTTTTTCAAAGCTGTTAACAATTAGATCTTTCCAGCATCTCTTTGTGCAAATGGGAAAAAATTTGTAGAAAATACTTGAAATGTCATGATCATTTTGAAAAAGTGTTGAAAGGGAAATACTTTGTTTACCAACTAGCTAAGGAGCTACACATCTGTTTGGAAGAGAGGTCAGCACACAACCTTTGCTTAGATTGCTGCAGCTCTTCAATCAGATGCTCTTTTAGTCAAGAAGACAAGTCAGTTATAATCTGTTATGTCCTAGGCATCAAGAGTTTAGACTGTGTTACTACAACTTCAAAAAGGGCTTGGATCCTGCTGGGTTTGCTGAGACAGGGGGCTACGGCTCTGGTTAATGTGACTTTTGATAGAATGAAGTGGGAAGACTGACTGACTGTCACTCAGAGTGACTGAGTGATATTTATTTATAGCACCACTTCAAAAGAAATGAAAAATTTGGAAGAGCTCAGGAAAGAACTAAAAGAACAAGGTGAAGTTAGGAAAATCAGTGGCACTTAACACTTTCATTTTTTCCTGAAAAACCAATTAACTGTGACTTCAATTATTATCTGCATGCGTTTGCAGTCCCCACTGCTAGAAACCATAGTCAGAATATCACGTTTCCAGAACTGATCCCCGAGACAAAAGGAGGTGTTCTACACGTGCTTTGCAGCCCCAGCCTCTCAATACTGGCCATTCAAACTTGTTTTTTTCTTTTCCTGAGAACCATTTGTTAGGTGTTCTAAGATAACCGAGCTAAGAATGAGTATCACCATTGTGCACAGAAGACTTGGACTGGTATTTCGGTCTAATTATTGGTCCCTTCTGGGTGAAATGGGGAACTAGCAAGGACTCGCCAGAAGGCTGAGGCAGCACCTAAATTCTGATTGCTCCTTTAGCACGTAGAAAGTTGAGGATTACGTGAAGAATCCCGGCTGCTGTTTGAAGATGCTACAAATGTTAAGTGCATACCACTTTTTAATATACATGGTTTATGTACTTCAGCTGTGTAACCACCTAACTTTTTTAATGTGTTGTTTTGCAGCAAACTGAGCTGAATTTCTTAACACAAAACATACTGCTAACTAAAAGTCCTGGTTTGATAATTATTATCAGCAGTACAGAGCTTGATCTTTTGGTATCCTGGAAGTGAGAGGAGGGAAAAATCTTTTTGAACTGTGTGAGCAAAATAATTTCAATTTTAAAGCAAAACAAATTTCTGTGCTCCTGAGGTTGCTTTGGAACAACAGCACTCAGTTGTAACTGGACCCATTTGGACAGAGTTAACATACAGCTTTCATTTAAAACAGGAAAAGTCAGTACAGGGTATGGTAAAGCGTGCAGTACTTTAAAATGCCCTTAGAAAGGCAGGAGAACTTCTGATCATTCTCTATAATGCGCCTTGTTCTCATGCAGTAAACTTGCCTTATTGATAAATTAGAATTTGAATGATGATACTGAGGCATGGCACTCATCATTTTTCACTACATGGAAAATCAAAAGCTCTTGAAAAAAAGACACACGTAGAAATCCTTTCTTGTCTTTATATATTGGGTTCTACTGTGGTTCATGGGTTATTTGCAACTGAAAAATATTCTATAAAATCAAGATTTTTTTTTTTGGCTGCTGCTATTTCTGACAGACTGATTAGCAGCTCTTTCAATAGAAGAAATGAATGTCTGAAAGACAAGTTTGTCATAGCAGCTCTATTGAAGAAGAATCTATTTTTTTAATCTTCCCTGCATAAGGGAATGAACTGCTTGTCTAAAACGTCAGTATCGTTTCAAAAATTGAGATAATGTTGTACGACCGTAAGTGTAGGAGGTTCTTTTGGTTCTTTAACTTAGTTTAAGATGTTGTGACCCAAGGGGCTCTAAACAGTATCTGGCTAGATTTGTTAAACAATGCAGAACTTGGCTATTTGGTGAAGCATTCCCTTAGAGTGATCTGGTCTCCTTATGTTAGAATACACTGAATAGAGGTCCTGACTGTGGTGAATATTTTGGCTGATTTCTGAATGTAACAACTTGCAATGCATTATCAGATTCTGTTTCTCTTGGAGAGACCTTTCTTTGAGAAGGATAATACAAAATACATTTCGTAATACAAAATTATTACAAAGTTTTTTGCTGTTGTGAAAATTCAAACTGTAATTATGACTTACACTGGCCTTCTTTCTGAGCAGTTGTTTAGCCAACTGCTGTTCTTGAGGCGTATGGGCAGAATATCTGTAGAGGAATTGTTTTCTGTTTTGGCTTTTAGTAAAATCTTGGTTGCTAGCAGCCCTCTTGAGATTCCACTTCCACTGATAGTGTGTTGTGAACTGGCTTGTAACAAAGTATTCATAAGACACAGCCTGTTAAAATATTCCTCCTAAATCATTGCTTCTGTCTCAATGGTCCAGACTCTACTGTTCCTGAAAGATTATACTTTAAATAAAAAGTCTGGGATAGGGTAAGGGAAATGACTTGTGTACTTGAATACTTAAATGCTTTTGAATATGAAGTTTAAAGGCTTCTCTATTTTTACCAATAGGGTACTAAAACAGAAAATGAAACTTCAATTGTGAAAGCTTCTGCAAGTGCCCTCACAAAAACTGAGCTTCCAGTTATACCAGAAGTGAAGACTTACCCTGAAGGATGTACAATTAAAGCAGGGTATGTATGAACAAAACTTGAAATGAGGGCATCTGCAGCTGGGTAAAAGGGAAGGAAAAAACCCAGCAACCCAAGCCCACAACCAAAACCTTTTTGACCATTAGAACATCTGTGTGGTGGAACAGGCTGTGCAGAGAGGCTGTGCAGTCTCTGCCTGTGAAAGTTTTTGGGATCTGACTGGACAAAGCCCTGAGCAGCCTGATCTGTACTCACAGCTGACCCTGACTGGAGCAAGAGGTTGAACTAGAGACCTCCTGAGTCTCTTCTGACCTGAATTCTCATGATTCTATGTTAAAGAGTAAACAGCTGCAAAAAAACAGACTTGCCCAACCTCTTAATGGCTTTGTATTGTTCAGTCTCCCATGCTTTTTCTTTTCAATTGGGTTTCTGAGTTGCCTAACCATGATTTGCTATTGTAAATGAACTGGTATCAGCAGTAGAATCTTGTGTGTACTTTTTGTATACTCCGCTTTTGAAGACTCCGTGGAACTGTAAAGTCACTTCTGAGAATACCACTGTACTGCATGTCTGAACCTTGCTGTTCTTCAGTCTTAAGTTGTTTTCCAGTTTTTTTAATATGGGATGATGTGAATATGGCAGAGGAGTAAAATGTTTTAGTTAAACATGGCATCTCTGAGAAGAGTCTAGTTCTCTAGTAAAGCATATGGGGCAAAAAATCAGATTGTGAAAGTGTGTATAAGTAAATGTACATATATTTATGTCACAGTGATGCTTTTGTTATTCTTTCTGGCTAAAATGTATTGCCTATAAAATTTAAGGTGAGAAAGTTGATGCCTTCAGTATCTTTCAATTTTTCCTGATTTAGTTTCAGAAAATGCACTTGTTATTTTGAAGTATGCAATCAATATATCTGGACCGTGTAAGTAGGAAATCTTAATACCTTAAATCCCTTTTTCAAATCAGACAAAATACGATAACTCGAGGGGTATATGCACCAGAAGACCTGTACAATTTTCCTCCAACTAGAGTTGGGGAATCATGCACGTTAAAGGTCAACTTGCGGAATAATTCCTTTACAACACACTTGGTAAGTTTGACAGAATTTATTTTTAAACACATTTTCAATGTCCTTCCAACAGTTTAACTGCACTGTTTTTTTTTTACTCTTGACAGAAAATTGCAATAGTACAAGTCTTAGTTTGTTAGTTTCAAAAGTAAATGTTATATTTGAAGAATTATGGTCTCTTGTAATTTTTTCTTTTGTCTGTCTGAATCATTGAGTGTATTTGTAACATATTCGCAACTGAAAAAAAAACCAGATCATAGTTTGCATAGATTTGTTATTATCCTGATTTATTTTTTAACTTCATTGAAATATTGAAATGTGAATTTTTCTTGCTATGCACGAACGTGGGCATGCTTTATTTTTAAACTTTAGGTCTGTGTAAAGCTGTATTTGTAAGTAACCTGATTGATCTTAAGCATGTCATAAATTGAATATGATAGGCTTAGATATAGTGCGCTTTTAAGTGTTTTGTGTGAAATTGCAGCTGAAATTTGTAAGTCCCGGAGAGCCTTTCTACATCAAGCACTCGAAGTACTCGCTTAGGTGAGTAATGCATATGCTGACATTCTCTCCTAACAAAAAAACTAAACAAGTAATTCATCAAGATAAATATCTTCTCTATATGTACAGTACTAAAATGTAGATATAAATATCCAACATTCTGGCTGTCTAGTTAAAAGTGGTGTGGCTTTGTGTTTTTGTTGGTGTGGTTTTTATTTTTTTATTTTTTATTTTTTGCTAAGCTGTACTCTGTAATCTTGGTTAGAAGCAGAATAAGCCCACACAGTTATTTCTGCATCTGCCAATTTCTTCTCTGCAAATTGTTTCTAACAGTGCTGCTGCTTTTAATGCTAAGCCTAATGCTTCATTTAACTATTTGGCATGCTGTGCACAATCAAGTCATTCCTTCCATTTATGCTTTCTGCACAACAGACCAAGCAAATTGCCTTCATCATGCTTCTAATTTGACAAACCTGCAGAGCTGCGTCAAAGGTTCTCTGCAAATATAAGGTTTGAGCAGCCAGTTGGAATTGCCTGGTCATACCAACTATTTCAGCATATTACCTGCATAAAAGGAATTTTCACGTTGGTGATAACAATCCCTCAAAATAAACCCAGTCATCTTTAGAGTTCATTACAACAAGTATTTGACAGTCCTATTAGTCAGCTCTTCAAGAAGTATAGCATCTCATGTGCTCATCTGTAACAGTGGGATTGTCAGGAAGACAGAAATGCAACCATTTCATTAGAAGTCATACAGCATATATACTTAGTGTTTAAACAGTTTCCCATTTTAAAGATAAAATCCATCCTAATAAAGATGACTGACTAGATCTGTCTGAGGCTGTACAGCTGCAGACAAAGGACAGGATGACTTGATTGTCCCTGTAAAGAAAAGATGAGTAACTTCACTGGAAGACACTTAGATATTTCAAAAATATTCTCGAGGAATGCTTTAAAAGCTATTTGGTGTATTTTCTGAGAGATGATAAACTTGCTTTTATCTGAAGTAGAGTTAACAAGTTTAAAATTCAGTCTACCATTTCTAAAGGTTATCAACTGAATAACATTCTACAACCTTTTTTTTCTAGTAACTTTGGCTGTTTTTTCTTCAGTTGTAAATATTGGCCTTTCCTAGCCTTTTTAAAATTCATTTAACTGAAGTCAACATAGTTCTCTGAAGAAGCTCTCTCATTTAAAAGCATAAAGCAGAGAAGAATTACCTGACTTGGATAGATGCTTTTAAAAAAGTGTTAAAAGAACTTCTTTAAATGGCTTTTATTTGAGAACAGCATCAAGGAGTGTTTCAGGAAACTTATGTTAAATGTTTTCATCTAAACTAGGTTAACGGGACATCTTACAAAGTAATGCTCAAAAGTAATGGGATGAGAAGACTGTTTGCAGGAACTTGGAGTATTAGTCTGTAGAAATAGAAAGTATCACCTACCTATTCTTTTGGACCAAAAAGTGTCATGTAGTAAACATGATCTGTTGCACACTCTTCACTTTGAGGGCCAAATTTGAAAGCAATCCTTGGTAATCAATTAAATTTGGATAATGGAATTGCAAGTTTTTATTTGTATTTAATATCAGGAGTCTGACCTTTAGAAGCTGGTGTAGTGGCTTGTCAGTTCTTGTTCAATTGGTTATGTGATCACAAGTACCAATACTTAGCACCGCTGTTTTTTTACCACAGTTTCCTCAGTTGAAAATAGTAATGAGCTTTGTCAAACTACAGTATCTTGCAACAAAAACTGTACCAAAAAAAACCCCCAAACTAATCTTCACCAAATATCTTAAAGTGTATCTTGCAACAAAAACTGTACCAAAAAAAAACCAACAAACTAATCTTCACCAAATATCTTAAAGCGTATCTTTTGGTTTTTAACCACAGAGATTTCGTTTAGCTAATATTATAAGTCCCCGAAAGATGGGTGGGAACAAATTCTTTTCTGGAATTCGCATTCAAAAGAGGAGTTCTATTTGTGGACGGAGTAGAATTTTTTTAACTGCAGAGAGTACCTTTAACAAGATGACTCTTAAGTGATATAAACATATGGATGAAACATCAAAAAACCTTGTCTCTTTAAAAACCTTTGGCTAAGTTCTGTTGCTGGAAGGACTACCAGGTTATGCCTACTTAAAAAAAGCTTGAAAACTAAGGCGTTTCTATTGTGCTGCTTTCAGAGGCCATCTGAAAAAAGTTGATTACAGGGTAGTATGTATGTCAGATATTACTAAGAAGTAAAACTGGTTTTTGCTTGACTAATTATTTTTGTATCCAGTAGCCACCATTCTGGGTGTCAGAAGTCACTATTTGTTGACGATAGATCTGGTTACTATGGCTTAGATGCAGCTTACCCATAGTGTTCCTTTTAAACTTCCCTATTGCTGCTATTGTGTTTAGAAGACTACAGTATTATCATAGAATCATAGAAGAGTTTGGGTTGGAAGGGACCTCTAAGTCATTGAGTCCAACACCCCTGCAGTGAGCAGGGACATCTTTAACTCAATCAGATTGCTCAGAGCCCTGTGCAACCTGGCCTTGAATGTTTCCAGGGATGAGGCATGTACCACCTCTGGGCAACCTGTTCAGTGCCTCACCACTCTCATTGTAAAATATTCATTCCTGATGTCTAATCTAAATCTACCCTCTTTTAGTTTAAAATCATTAGCCTTTGTCTTATCACAACAGGCCCTGCTAGAAAGTTTGTCCCTCTCTTTCTTATAGGTCTCTTTTAAGTACTGAAAGGCTTCAGTAAAGTCTCCTCAAGCCTTCTCTTCTCAGGATGAACAACCCCAACTCTTTGAGCCTGTCCTCATAACAGAGGTGTTCCCTCTCTCTGATCATCTTTGTGGCGCTTTTCTGGACCCACTCCAATAGGTCCATGTCTTTCCTGTGCTGAAGACTCCCAAGATGGACCCAGTACTCCAGGTGGGGTCTCACCAGCGTGGAGCAGAGGGGCAGAATCACCTCCCTCAACCTGCTGGCCACTCTTCTTTTGATGCAGCCTGCATACAGTTGCCTTCCTGGGTTGTGAGCACATGTTGCTGGCTCATGTTCAGCTTGTCTTCCACCAGTAACCTCAAGTCCTTCTCCTGAGGGCTGCTCTCAACATCACCTCCCAGCCTGCATTGATACTGGGAGTTGCCCTGACCCAGGAGCAGGACCTTGCACTTGGCCTTGTTGAACCTCAGGAGGTTCACATGGGCCCACTTCTGAAGCTTCTTCAGGTCCCTCTGGATGGCATCCTGTCCCTCAGGCATGTCAAACGCACCACTCAGCTTGGTGTTGTCTGCAAAAACTTGCTCAGAGTGCGCCTGATCCCGCTATGTCATTGATGAAGATGCTAAATAGTACTGATCCCAATACGGACCTCTGAGGGACACCACTTGTCACAGATCTCCATCTGGACATTGAGCTGTTGACCACTACCCTCTGGATGTGATGATCCAATCAATTCCTCATCCACTGAACAGTCCACCCATCAAATCCATATGTCTCCAGTTTAGAGAGAAGGATGTTGTGTGGGACTGTGTCAAAGGCCTTACAGAAGTCCAGAGAGATGACATCCATAGCTCTTCCCTTGTCCACTGATGCAGTCATTCCATCACAGAAGGCCACTAGGTTGGTCAGGCAGGACTCACTCTTGCTGAAGCCATGCTGGCTGTCTTGTATCACCTCCCTGTCCAATATGTGCCTTAGCACAGCTTCTAGAAGGACCTGTTCCATGACCTTCCCAGGCACAGAGGGGAGGCTGACAGGTCGGTGGTTCCCAGGGGACTCCTTTCTACCTTTTTCAAAAATGGGTGCAACGTTTCCTTTTTTCCAGTCACCAGGGACTTCACCCGACTGCCGGGACTTTTCAAGTAGCACGGAGAGTGGCTTGGCAACTACATCAGCCAATTCCCTCAGGACTCTGGGATGCATCTGGTC